CAACCCCTGGAAACACGCACAGACCCCTCTCCACCTTCTCCCTCACAACCATCCCAGGGCCAGAGTTCTTGGGATCAGCAGCAAAGCAGATTTCATCCAGTGCAAGGAAAGGCTGGTGCCAAGTCTCCGCTATGGGATTTGCTTCTGAAGGATACATGTGGCTCCTGTCAAACCTGCCCGGGAGGCATGGATGCCTGGTCTCAGCCCTCCTCCTGCAGTCTCTCCAGTCTCACCAAGTCAGGACCCAATGGCACGTGGCTGCTTTAAAGGAGGGAGCTCCCCTGGCTGGTGTGGCTCAGTGGTTGAGTGTCGACCCATGCACCAAGAGGTCGCTGGTTCGATTCCCGGTCAGGGTACATGCCCAGGTTGTGGGCCCGATCCCTAGTGAGGGGCATGCAGGAGGTGGCCAGTTGATGTTCTCTCTCATTGATGTTTCTATTTCTCTCTCCCTCTTCCCTTCCTGTCTCACTAAAATCAGTAAAGAAAAAAAAATTTTTTTAAAGAGGAGGGAGCGTGCCCTGGCTGGTTTGGCTCATTGGTTAGAGCATTGACCTGCAGACCAGAGAGTCCGGGGTTCAGTTCCCACTAAGGGCACATACCTTGGTTGCAGTTTGTCCCCGGCCCTGGTTGAGGTAGTGTGGGTGGCAACCAGTTGATGAGTCTCTCTCACATCGATGTTTCTCTCTCTCTCTCTTCCCCCCTCTCTCCCTCCCGCTCTATCTGAAGATAAATGCAAAAATGTCCTCAGGTGAAGATAAAGAAAAAAAAGAGAAAGAGAAAGGAGCTCATTAAATTACCACTGAGCTCCTCTTCCTTTTGGGGGGACTTGTCCAAGACCTTGAGGTCTGACAGGGGCAGCCTGCTACCACTCTTATCACTGTCGTTGTCTCTTCCAAAGTGGAGACACTGAAACAGGGTTTTCCTCTCGGCGTTGGCTTTTAGGAAAAGGCAGGCCCAGGTGGAGCTCACCTCTACAGAGACTGCGTTTTTAGTATTTCTGTCACTAGAACAGTCATCTTATTCTTTTACCCTTCATCTAAGTTTCCTTATACAGCGATACCTCGTTTCTCGAACGCCTTGACTTTCGACCAAATCGGTATTCGACCAGGAGATTCGAGAAACTTTTGTCTTGGAATCCGAACAAATATTTGGAACTCGAACTTCCGAGATGAGCCGAGTTGAGCCGAATGGCGTTCATTCGGCCCAGCGCGCCTTGCTCGCGTCATCAGTGTGAGTGCAGAGAGAGAGTCACGCTTTGTGGAGAGAGTCACGCTTTACACTGAATTGAACCCTTAGACATACTGTACACTTTTATTTCTTGTTGAGACTTATGTTTTTCTACATATTATATACAAATTAGGCCAGTAAATAGGCATTTTCTGGGGCTTGGAACGAATTAATCCAGTTTCCATTATTTCCTATTGGGTTTCATTGCTTCGGTTCTCGAACAATTTGGTTCTCGACCGTCCTCCTGGAACGAATTATGTTCGAGAACCGAGGTATCACTGTATCTACTTTGTCTTGCCACAGTATCTGAATCTTAGTTCCCCACCTCAAACTATGTTGGCGATTAGGTGAGCACTAAGCACATGAAGGCAGTGAACGAAGGTGCAGGGGGCTGGGGAGGAGGTGTTCGAGGGAGAGCGCTGTAAAAGGGGCACCTGAGAGTGAGCCCTGGTGGAGGCGGGGACTTGCATCCGGCAGGAGGCCACAGACCAGCTGCCCAGGCTAGCGTGATTGCCCACCCACGCCGCTCTGCAGCTGACGTCCAAGGAGCTTCTGGTTCTGTTTCCCAGAGTTGTTCGTGATGACGCTATCGGCAGGAAGAAATCCCACGTCCTGCCCACTCCTGCCTCAGACTGAGCCTGTCTGTGCAAGGGGTTCCCTGAAGAATGTCGCACTGTTCACAACGGGCTCCCTGCGCGTCCATCTCCACTCCCCAGGAAACGAGCAGAGCAAGGAGCCCTGATCTGGGTATTCTGCATCTCTTGTAAATCACCTTCCTCTTGGACAGGAAAGTGGGGGCTGCGCCTGGATTCCACTTTGCTGATCAGTATCTCCTGAGTAACTCAAGAGCATCTCTTGTATTCTTTCCTTAGCATGTGCTGATAGTTTCTAGATTGAGTCATACCTCCAAGGTGACTGTAAACATCATCAGTTCTGATGGCCCAGCTGGTTACTTGCAATTATCCAGATTAATGCCAAGTGGGCACAGGATGTGCATTAACTTGGCACAGGGTGTGCATTCTGGCCGAGCCCACGTCCACTCGGAACCTTACATGCCTTGGCCAGACTGGTGGCCAGAGCCCAAGTCCTCTGTGCTGGATGGGCCTCTCACACATGGACTGGCACCTTCTCCTGGCAAGACGCTAGAGGTGGGGAGGGAGCGGGAGCTGGCAGCAGCGTACTCACGAACCCCGTTGTCTGCGTTTGGACTCCTCAGAGCACCCAGGACAGAACGCCCATGAGGACCAGCAGGACCTGCGATGTTCATGTGACACCCACACCCTTTCCTCTGAAGCAGGAAAAGGCAAAGGAGCAAAGAGAAAGAAGACCTGAGATTCCTAGAATCCATTTCTTTCCCTGCTCCAGAGCCCACCTCTACTGAAGGCTTCACCCCAGGGTACCCCAGGACATATCAGGGGAGAAGAAGGTCTCTAGCCCTCAATTTACCTAGGGGCACTCTCTTGCTCTCTTCTCTTTTCCTGTGTATTGCTTTTAAGAAAGACAATGAATTACTTGGTGTACTTTTGTTGTTGTTGTTAATCTTCACCTGAGGATATTTTTTCCATTGATTTTTAGAAAGAGTGGAAGGGAGAGAGGAAGGGGGAGAGGGAGGGGGAGAGAGAGAGAAACACCGATGTGAGAGAGACACATCGACTGGTTGCCTGAACCCCAACCGGGGTCAGGAATCAAACCTGCAACCTAGGTACATGCCCTTGACTGGAAATCAAATCTGAGACCCTTGGGTGCACGGGTCGAAGTTCTAACCACTGAGCAACACAAGGCAACTTGGCATACTTTAAAGTGTAGAAAGATATCCACTTCACTCAGTGGCACGTGTTGACTACATACTCTGGACCTTTAGGGAGAAAACTGAGAAAGAGGAGAGCAGGTGAGGGGATGGACAACAGGAAGCCATGTGGGTAGAGGGAGGAGGAAGGAAAATGAATGGGAGAGGTGAGGGGGCCACAAAGAGAGAGAGGAGTCAGTATGTGCTAAATGAATGAACTGAATGCTGAGATGTCCTCAATCTAAAGGTAAGACACGAAGGGTCAATGGGAAGCGGGGCTCCCTCACCTAAAGTCCCACAGCTAGTAAGGGCTACAGGGAGAACTAGATCCCAGGTCTCCCCAATATCCGCTCTAAGGGAGTGTCAGTCTTACTTCCTCAAGGGCTGGTGTTGGAGTCCCTCAAGACCTGGGTCTGGTCTCTCTGGAGTCTACCTAGGAAATACGGACAGTCCGGTGTCTCGTCTTATTTACAACCCCCACCGCTGGCTTTTACCCAACCTGACTCCCTAGCCGTGTGCCCCTCATAAGGAACCTAGCACGGGAAGAAGTGGGAGTGGACAGGAAACCCAGCTCTAGCGGCTGCTCTGCCTCCCTCTTGCTGTGTGACCTGGAGCCAAATGTCTCTCCCTCTCTGGATCCCTGACTCCCCTCTGTAAGGTGTGACCAGGGACTTTGTGATGAAGCCAGACCTAGGTACTAACAACCTAGGTCTAACTGGGAGGGCTGGGAAAGCCAGGAGTCTGGTTTGGGAAAGAGATCCAAGTTGTCCAACTGCTTGGAGATTTCAGCTTGCACAGGATGGCTGCATTTGAGACCGTTGGGAGCAGTAATGATTATGCCAGGGAATGGGACATCCGTATTCTCTCAAAGGCAGATAGGGTGAAAGCAAACCCCTTGATATCAAATACTGGAGTCCCTGGCATCCCAGCAGTTTTATGTGCTTACCCTCAAACAAAAAGGTGTGAGTTATTCACCACCACTGATTACCTTTTGTGTTCTTTGAAAATTGTGGGCAACAAGGCAGCCACTGCCTGGAGCTCCTAGCCACCCAGAGACAGCTACAAACCTCTAGGGCCAACTAGCCTCCTCTGGCCCAGGGAGCTCTCTGCTTCCCCAAACTCCATCCCCACAGATCACCCCATTCTATTATCCTCTCCTTCTCTTCTACCAGTCACCCAGACACCAGCCAAGCTAGGACAATGGTCCCTGGCCACCCTAAGCCCTGACCTCCACGGTCCTCCAACTGGAGAACAGCTTCCCCTACAGAAATCACCCAAACCTGTCAAATCAGAAAATGTGCGTCCTTGCTCCCTTCCCCCACACCCCCAGCAGATGCGACATTCCCCAGCCCCCAGCCTGCCTGCAGTACCCTGTGTCACTCACCTCTCTACCACTCCACCAAGCCAGGGTTCAGAGACTCATCTTCACCTCCCCACGATGACCCGCCCAGCACTTTCTCAGTGCTCGGCTGGACCAATCGAATCGCCCATCTCCCACAGCCTTACCCAAACCAGACCCTGTGAGTTCAGGGTCTTGAACTTAAAATGGAAGTTGTACGCAAAGAGATCTTGAGACCCGCCCGGGTTGGAAAGTTACCTCCAACACTCGCTAACCATGCATAAACGCAAGTCACTTGAACCTCTGTTTCCTCGTCCGTAAGGAGGAACCATAAACCATACACCCTACGTGTAGCACAAAGACCTTGTGTGCATTTTCTCATTTCATTCCCCTACTGCCTGGTAAGAGCTGGTACTTTTATCATTACTATCATTTTACAAAAGAAGAAATCGAGGCTCAGGGAGGTTATGCCCAAAAGCACTTGGCCAGTGGGTGATGGAGCCATGACTGACTCAAAACCAGTTGTGCAGGATTCTCCCCTCTCCCCGCAACAGGTCTTCGGAGCCCTGGAGGCGCGCAGGCAGCAGGAGCAGAGCCCTGCGCAGCCAGCCGCGCTCGCTCCCCCACCCCATCTCCAGCCCGCGTTACCTTCCTTGGGCGCATTGGCGTCCCAGACGCTCCACATCTGCACGAAGAAGAATGGTGTCCAGCACACAATGAAGGCCAGCACGATGATGAAGGTCATCTTAACCGTGCGGATCTTGGCCCTGGAGATTAGCTTGACGCTGCTGACTCGAGCCAGGGCCGCACGGTCCCCGCTGCCGGCCACCGCGCCCTCCGACCCCTTGGCCGCTCCCTCCGCCGCCGTCTTGCTCCGAAAGTTCTGCCAGATCTTGAAGCAGATGAGGCTGTAGCAGGCGGTAAGCACAATGACTGGCACAATGTAGACGGCGAGCGTGATCCACGTGACATAGGCCTTGGGTCCCCAGGGCTGGATGAAGCCTGCCCAGCAGTCGAAGACACCGTCGGCCACCTCGCGAATCGAGAAAATGTGCACCTGCGGCGCGCTGGCCACCAGGCAGCCCAGCCACGTGATGAGGACGGCCAGGCGGTCAGCACGGCGGCGCAGGGTGCGCAGCGGCTGGCAGATGGCCAGACAGCGGTCGAGGGACATGAGCAGCAGCAAGTAGGTGGAGGCGAACATGCCAACAACCTGTAGGTACTTGACCAGGCGACACAGCAGGTCGGGCCCATAGAAGCGGAAGGTGATGTCCCACAGCAGTTGTGGCAGTACCTGGAACACCGCCACCACCAGGTCGGCGATGCTCAGGTGCTTCATGAAGAAGAAGAGGCGCGAGTGCTTGTGGCGCGTGGTGCGCAGCGCTAGCAGCACACACACGTTGCCGCTCAGCGCCAGGAAGAGGATGAGGCACAGCACCGCCACCTCCACGCGCGCCAGGGCCTCGTTGCGCTGTGGCCCGTGGGTGCGGTTGCCCTCCGCCCCTGGTGGTGCCGCACTCCCATTGACAGCCTCGGCGCTCCAGTTGGTCTCAAGCGGGACCTCCATGACCGTGGCCACCGCTTTGCGACCAGACCCTGGTCTGGGTGCCTTTTAAGGCGTGGCGCAACGGGGCAGCGTGCCTGGGGGCGGCTCGCGTTCCGCTCCGGAGACTCCGCGGACCGATCTGCTGGGTGGGACCCTGAAACAAACCCCCAGGACCCTGAAAAGACCGCCACGTTTTTCCCCCCTGCACGTGCACCGCAAATGTCCCCTTCCCAGGAACCCCAAATATCTGAGACTCAGGGCACAAGTGCCAGCCCTGGGACTGCTCAGCTGCCACCCCAGAAATCCCGTTTGAGGTACCTCCTCTGAGCCTCTGGAAATGAGCGCGAATCTACCCGACGGCCAGTTTCTTGAGGTATTCGTCGCTTCCGCTGAAGGAGAAGGGAGAGTCCTAATCAGCCACTTTGCTCCAGGACTGCGACAACTACTAAACCAACCACCTTCCCCAGGAATCCCCAAACTAGCTACCCCGCCCCCCAGGATTCTCAATAGTTTCCCCTCCCCACGAGATCAGTCGCCTTTCCTAGTAAAACCTTACTCCAGTTATCTCCTCCGGAGATCCTCAGCAGTCCTCGCCTGGAAAACTCCAGCTCAGGACCATCCTGCAACCTCCTGTTTCTAAGACGCTTTACCATACCCCCAACCCCGAACTTCCACCGCAGCTGCTTCCGTGGGACCCCAGTCCAGCGGTCCCTCCTAGAGGAAATACTGCCTAAGTACCTACCCCCAGGGCGCCCAACTGCGGTTCCCAATACCCTCCCGCGGGGATCCTCCCAGGCCGACACCTCACGAAGGGAGCTTCCCCAGCCCAGCAACCTCCAAGGTTCCGGCGCACATTTTGGCCCCGAGAGAGTCAACGGCTCTGCCTCTCCATCCTGAGCAGTCACTTTACAATCTCTCAAAGCATTTCGCGCCTACAGGAACCAGGAACGCGGGGCTCTCCACCGCTTCCACTTGGGTCCAAATGTCCCCATCAGTCCCAGCCATCCCATCCACCAATGGGCAGGACCCAGCTACCTGCAGAAGTCCACAGACTGGCCTGAAGTTGGCTCCCGGAGTTGCACCGCCGCAGACGGCTCCAAAGACGCTTGAACTCCCAGCCCAGGTTGGGGTGGCTGCTGTTGGCACCGGCTGATACTAAGCTGAGGCCTTGCACTCCGAAGCCTCAGCTGGAATCCCCTCTCCCGCTGCCTGGCTGGTCGCTGGATAGGGACAGACAGTGCGCACGGAGAGCGTCAGCATGCAGCGTTGTCTACCGGTGCCCGCTTTTCTGCAGCAAGTGGCCGGGGCTGCACCACCACAGGAATCCGCTGGGAGGAGCCGGAGGCCGACAGCGCCGACCCCCCGCAGAGCCGGGTTAACTTGCTCAGCGTTGGTCTCTGAAGCGTAACAAGCAGGTTTATTTCACAGCGCTTAAAACTAAAGGAGGGAAGGAGCTCATAAATAACCTGGTTGGTTTCCTCCTTTCTTGGTTTAGAAGCTCCGGACTCTCAGACAATGGAAGGCTGGAATAGCAGTGTTTTCTGCTAAGTAGATGGTGATGAAGTTGCAAAAGCATTTAACTAATATTCTTGAACACCAGGTTCATTTCAGCACCTTTTCCCCTCCCAGGAGCTTGATGTGGTGGACTTAGCAGTGAATTCAAGTAAGTCTTTGCTTTGGAATACTTTTGCTCATATCCCCATTCATGGGGAATTAGAAATGCCTTCTGTTCTTATCAGCGCTGGGAGAGGTCTTCATTCTTTAGGTAGTTTTAGGTGGAAACAATTATATCTTCATCTTAAAGTGATTCTGCTCACAGGAGGCCCTAAATCATTTCTGCCTCCTTGCCATGCTCCAAAATTAAAATATTAAATGGTGCCAAAGGAAGGTTAAATGTTAAAGACTGCTTCTCTGTCTCCTAGCTCCTTTTCTATTCTAAAATTGTTTTTTGGAGTAATTTATAGTGACAAGAATTAGGCAGAAGAAAAGAAAGAATTCAAAAATGAACAGAGCTCTATGACATTTATTAAACACATATTTCCTCCTGACTTGTCACTTCTCCTCCTTTTACTTATGTGGATAGAGTTGAGTTAGCCAAGGACCCTGATTCCGCTGTGACAGTCCTGTGCCAAGACACCCTGGAGGCAGACTCTTAGGCAGCCCTGGTCCTGGGGTTCCAGTTGCTTGAGCCTTCCAGAATGGGCCTGAGAATTCCCATTCCTGCAGCATTATGAAGGGGCAAGAGTTGTCTTTTTCTTGCCCTTGGGATACTGTGGTTTGTTTGTTTTTTAAATCAACTGAGTAAATTTTAAAGATTGTATTGGCTTTATTTAATGATTCATGAGTCGGGCAGCATCCAATCTAGTAGACAGAAAGCAGCTCAGTAACTGTTATAAAATGAAAGACATAAGCAGAAGGGAGCCGGAACAAGGAAGTTATGCACTAGGCAAAAATCGGGTTAGGGACTGCAAGGCTGCAGTCACTATCAGGGAGATGACCGGATTAGTGCTGACCGGGTGGTTCCTGACCTGGTTTAAGATTCCATCACTTCGAGAGTGAAACTGGAATTAAGTTAAATCTCAGTTTGGCCATGTGGGGCTTAGCATAAGCCACTCCATTTGGGGCCGGTTGTCTTGTTTTTAACAATATTAAGCAATAGGAACTGTCACATAAATAACATGTTAAAGTTACACTCGGGTGAGGATTGGGCAACCCTGGGCCTCCATTTCTGCGTAAGTGAAATGAGGGCTGGTCAGGACAGCTAATCTCTGAGATCATGTCCTCTGGTGTTCTGGAATTTTATGATCTATGCCACCTCAGCGCTTGATTCCAGCAGGTAAGATGCATCTGCTCCACTCCATGGCCAGGTGAGGAGGGATTCTCCCTAAACACCCTGAGGGATACATTCCGGAAGGAAAAGCCTGCAGAGCCCAGCCTGCCCCTCACTGTCCAGGAAGAGAGCTGCCCCAGCTGTCCTGGGCCACTTTCCAGGGCTGGGCTCCTCCAGCCTACAAGGGAGCCTGTCCAATCCTATACCCAATTCTGGGCACACTTAGCAGAACCATTGGGCTTCATACAAGAGCTAAGTTCTCCTTTAGCCTTCATCAGGAGGGGGGAAAAAAAAGTGGATAGTTTGATTCCCATTCCTCTTTTGTTTTATTTCTCAACATGTGCAAAAGCCAAGCAGGGGAGAGAGGTGCTGTTTACCGCAGGGTCCCCTTGAAGTCTCCTCACAATGAACAACGCATGCTTCCACCTCCCCCCCCCCCCCGACCTCTAGCGGGGAGACAGTCACTCTGATGTCCGCAGTGTGATGGTAGATGTTACAGGGCTGGGCAGAGTGCGGGGGAGCCCTTGAGGGCCAGTGTCCCAGAAAAAGCAGCTGGACTTTGAAGTCGAAGATCGAGTTCTCTAGGAAGCAGAGAGAAAAGTGTTCTTCTCAGGCATGTCAGGGTGTGCCTGGCATTCGGGGGCATGGCTAGTCCATGTAGCTGGGATAAGAATCTGATGCCACTAGTTAATAAATACTTTTTGGTGCTGAAGGGCCTTGTAGACCATGCCAGAATAGATTTTATTCTATAAACTAAGGTTCCCCAAAATGTGGGGTAGAATACTTTCTCTGAAGGTATTCAAGATGCGAACTTGGTACTGAGAGGTACTGAAAAACACGGTGAGAAAATTAGTTCTTTTTCTGTTGTTTCATTCCTTTTGGTTTCAGCAAGGAGAAGGTCTAACAAAAATTGCAAAGGTGGAGCTAGAGGTTTGGGAGACAGTGGTGGGAAAGGCGAGGCCCGAGGAAGGGCTGTAAACAGAACACCTCAGTCATGTGCTTTAGCATGAGATCCCTGGTGGCCACAGGGAAGATGGGAAAGGAGATCCTGGCATGAGGAGACTCCAGGCAAGAGATGCTGTATCACAAACCAGAGGGGTGACACTGGAGAGTGCATTAGTCAGGGTTCTCCAGAGGAAAAGACCCGATAACATACATGTGCGTTTGTCTGCTTATCTATCTATCTTTCTACAGAGAGATTTTAAGGAACTGGCACACATGATTATGGAAGCTGACAAGTCCAAAATGTGTAGGATGGGCTGGTAGGCCACAGACCCCGAGAAGAGCCAATGCTGTAGACCATCTGCTGCAGAATCCCTTCTTCCTCAGAGGTCAATCTTTGCTTCTCGTTGGGCCTGCACTTACTGGATAAGCCCAGCCACACTGAAGAGGGCAATCTGCTTTACTCATAGTCCACGGATTTAAATGTTACTCTCATCCCAGAATACCCTCACAGAAACCCCCAGAACCACCTTTGAGCACACATCTGGGCACTGTGGCCAGTGCACACAAGATTAGCCATCACAGAGGGCATCTCAGCAACCACTGTTTTCATAAATGTCCCAGTCTTCCCCAGCAACCCAGCATTTTGAAGGTAAGGCCATCAGTGTACATACAGGCGCTTCACAGCATCTGTTAAACAGGGAGGGATGGAGTGCGGGCGGGGGGGGGGGGGTCCCCATGGGAGTTCCATTCTTTTGAGAGCAGTGCCATGCCACCTGAGGAAGGTCTGCTGCCCAGCAGATGACCTGTCCATGACCCCCTCTCACCTCTGGAAACTGGGACCTGAGATTCAGCATCTCAGGTTTTTTCCAGTTCTGGTACATTTCTTTAGACGTGAATCCAAACCCAGATGGCCCCCCTCTTTAGGCAGAGTAGAAATGAGCCATGAACACATCCAGTTCACTCCCTCCCTCTGCCTCCCCTCAACACCCCTTCACCCCCCACCCCCGCACCCCATGTGCTCTCAGTCTCTGCTGGGGCCTGGCTCAGGAGGGCATCAGGGACTCTCAGGCATGAAGGCTGCAAACACATTTTAGCAACAATCTTCCTGCCAGCAAACGTGTCCTTCTTGCATTGCACGGTGCTGTCCAGACGCGGGAACCTCGGGCACGTGGGCGGCCTGGGAAGTTCACGAGGCTGTCCCAGGCTGTGGTGTCAGGATGCCAGCTTCTAACCCTGGCGTTCTTCT